AGAAATAACCAAATAATCAAAAATCGTCACACATTTGAGGGTGAAACAGAAGATGTGTAATAAATATGTAGGTATGAAAAAACAGACTTTAGAGTAAGGCATTAACTATTTCCCACTATTTCCCAGCATCTTGCATAGAGCCTGACAAATGGGCGCTAAAATATTTGTTGGAAAAAAGGGAAAAACAGAAGGAAAAGAAGAAGAAAATGGAAAACTTCTTACATGAACAAAATGTTCTTAATACAAGACTGAGCTTTTTCAAATAACAGGATGTCATTCAATATAAAATACATGTAAGTTGCAAAATAGTATTAACAAAGTCAGAACGAACGATGGATACATTCTTATGAAATAGGTTATGATGGACACGTTTTGAAGCTCACTCTCAGATTCCATTCTCAATTCTATTCATTAAAACCTGATAGATAATACCTATCATCATTTACACTGAACAATTTTCAAGTATTTGTTGCAGAATCAATCTCTAAAACAACAAAAGGCAATCTACTCTTAGCAGGGAAGATTGAATTATATGATATCGAATGAGGTTACAGGCATTTCCCACTTGTTAAGAGCATCTCTCTCTTGGTTGTCTCAAGTTTAAGAAACACCTCCTGTTGGCGCGAGTAATGAGAAACTTGTCTACACAATTCTCAACCAAGATTTAATCTGAAGCATGTTCTTTAGTGGGACAGAAAGAAAGCATCAGAGACTTATTTAGCACTTGCAAGTGTGGTGTTCATGTTGTGTTGACTGTTTCAGGAAATTCTCTCAACAATCACCTAGAGACAGGGATTATTGCTGCCTCTGTTTTATAGATAAGTAAACAGACTTTATGAGATTAATTAACAAATCCAAGTCCATGCAGTTAGTAAAAGCAACAGAGACAAGAGTAACACACAGGGAATCAGGGACTCTGACTGCAGAGCTGCCTCCTAATTACCGTGATAAACTATCAACATCGGGGGATGACAGTGATAATAACTGTTCATAACACCTACTAGTAAATTACCACACAACAGTTGCTGGAGCAACTTCACACATACTTAATCTTTGTAAGTTTTCCCAAATCTTTGTTGCCCCTTGCATGCCAAGGGCAAAAGTATTTTTTAGGAGTAAAGCATTGAATCACTGTACTTGCAAACTGTGCATCAAAACCCAACCATTTTGTCTCCCTCTTTACCTTAGTGCTAATGACCTTTCCAGGAGAGGAAACACTTTTAACACCTCCTCCAGGCCTCTGGGACACTCTCTAGACAGGGCTGGACCTTCCTTCACTGCTCTCCCTGTGGTTCCATGCCTGAAATTGTTACAGGCCTGAAGCTATTGCTCTGGCAGAATAAGAGAATGGGTATTAGATTTTCTTGTTGCTCGGTGCCAGAGGGAAAATGAATAGCTGCTCTAACTGTCCTCTGAATGCACACTTAAGAAATATCACCTCGGTTTTCTAATATAAATTATACAGAAACAACAAAGGAGGTGTGTCATTCATGGCTTAGACAAATTCTGGGAACTGCTCTCCACAGCAGGTTATCCTGTGGTCCTAACTTGACCTGTTGATCCTATTTGAAATATCAAAATTTGGTACCTTTTGAGTTTCTATAATTCTGGTTCACTGATCAGGAAATTGGCTATTTAATAATAGATCTTAGCTTTAATATTTTACGTTGGTACCAACTCAATCTCTGCATGTTACAGTAATATTAGAACCACATGAACTGGCTTTCCTATTTCGTTCTGAACTGAAAGACAAGGTTTATTAAAATTAAAAAACAAAAAAGGACAGTTGCAGAAGACATGAGTTGTGTGAGCAGCCAATCCATAAATGAAAGGGCTAGCACACACGAGAAAAACACTCATTTGAACAAACAAAGTATGACAAATTGAAACAGTAATGGCATGAACATTGTTCAACTATGAACTTGGCAAAAGGAAGAAAAAGTTAACACTCAACACTGGAGAGGGTGCAGGGAGGTCAACATACAGCAGAAGTGTAAACTGGTTTGACTGGTGTAGAAAGCAAATTTGCCTGGTTATCTCCTTTAATCTCCAGTTTTAGTCCCACGCAGGAGATACACACAGACACACAGACTATTTTTATTTTAAATTTGGGCCCAAATACCACTCCTGTGTCTAAAAGCCCGAACAGTTCTCTAGAGAAACACTGGAACCTAAGGACCCCAGTTTGCGGGGCCCAGGACACCTGTCTTCAGAAGAGAACATTCTATGCTCTAACATGTTGAAAGGAAGAAAGAAGGAAGGAGGGAGGGAGAGAGAAAATTCACTCAGGGTTCTAAGGCTAACTGACCTTGAGCAAGTCACAGAACTTCTTGAATATGAGAACATCCTCTCCGCAGAGTTACAAGGATCCAGTGTGATAATGTGTGTGAAAGCCCTTTGTAAATAGCAAATTAACACACACCTTTTGAGATTTCAAAAATTTGTCTTTTTCAGTTTCTCTCTTCCGTGTCCTGAGAAGTCCCCCTGACAGCACTGTAGTATCTTATCCCATCATCCAGTGGACAAACCTGCTATGAGTTCATTCTTACTAAATTTCCATGATTATCTCACTGTAGGGACAGTGTATTTCACTCTCCAGGGTAAGGATACCCTCACACCCAACCTCCACTTCTGGCCAATGTTGCTCCAACAGAGTAACATTATTAAAATTTTCTGTTACACTGAAGTTAACCGAGGCAGAAATACCACTGACATCAAGTCTTCAGGGATAGATGAGCAAGGAGCAGAGTCGTGGATTCACGAGAGAAGTCTATTATGTAGATAGATGGCAGAGACCACCTTACATAACTGTTCCTACCAAATCGGACCTTGGTGTAACATCCGACAGAGCCCTGCTCCTAAAAGAGTGTGTTTAAATTTTTCATCAGACCGCCTTTATAAAAAATTGAAACAATAGTCTCCAAGTGGGGGGAACAGTTTGCTAAAAAGATCAGAGCTTACAATTACCTTCTGAACCATCCTTTCAGGGCTCTATGCCTCCGATAGGCGTCTAAAATGTCAAGGAAATGCTCAGCTTTGAAATTTGCAAAAGAAAAAGTGAGTTTTTCCTTTAGCCCAAGAATGAGATTTTCACATTTCTGTGTCTTCAAATTTTCCATGATTAAAAGCCTTTGCCCTTCAGGCAACGGAGAAAATTGTGCTAAAACGGAAACACGTGCCTCACTTCTGGACGGATTGTTGGCATCCTGTGTGAAAATGCCTTTTGTTTTCCTTCTCAAGGTGATTGAGCCGGTGAGGTGATGAAGGCAGAACTACAGCAGAATTACCAAGCCGGGGCCCCTGCACTGCCCTCTGCTGCACTGCAGATTCTTTCCAACCCAACTCCGGTGTCCTCGGTGACATCCTCTGAAAGGGATGAGGCAATCCAAAGAACAGATGAGGAGATGCATCTCTTTCAGAACTTAAATATGGTAATTCTGCTGGCCTCCAATGTTAAAATGTTTCAGTCCTGGGTGTTTTAGAGACAAGGGGGCATTTTGGGTGGTGGGAGCCTGCTGTGAATGCAGATGGAAATTTTATGGTTTGTCTAATGCTTGTCTATTTTAATAAAGAATAAACTACAGCGGCAGTGCAATTTCACCCCATATTCCATGTGCTGCAACGCTGCAGTCAGAGTAGCCCCCCTAACCTGGAATCTTTTCTGTCTCTGCCTTGTTCAGTCTATTCCGATCCTGCCTCTGAAATTACCAAGAAGAGAACGTTAGCTAAAAGAAAGAAAGGGAAAATCTCTAAGGGCAATATGGAATGCTCAACACAGATACACAGACACTCTCTCTCCCTCTCTCTCTCTTTTTCCAAGGGAGAGAATGGAAGTACTCTATCTGGTTACCATGAGAACCAAATGATGGAGCCTCACCTTTGAAGCAATGGTACACACTCACAGAGAAGGAAAAGATGTGAAGAATATTTTACTTATTCTCTTATCACCCCACAGAGGCTGATGGGATACCAAGGTAAACACTGCTTCTCTCCATTTGGGTGGGCCGTGGGAGAGGTTAACTGAGTTTTTCAGCTTTATCCATGACATTTATTGATCATTCTTACTAAATTTCCATTAATTGATCATTCATTCCACCCCACACGAATGTGCACATACCACTCAAAGTTAAGGCACTGCTGACATTTTTTTTCCAGAACTGAAAATTAAAGTAGAGCCAAATTCAAAATGCAGCAAGAAAGAAAATTACTTGAAATCTTTTTGACAGACTGGAAATGGATCTGCTCCTCTTTCAGTAACAACAGGGCATGTGAGATGCTCACATGTGTTTGAGAAACAGCCCACTGAAGTTCTATGTGGCCAAGTTTCAGATCCCCATTCTTGATCAACGATCTGGATCTGAATGGTTGCCTATGGGGGAAAAGATTTCTTAAAAAGAAAATATAATTTTAAAGATCCTTCTTTGATCTTTGATGAACAATGGTGCTGGAAATCGTAACACTGGCTGCTTCAAGTGGAGAAGGTCTGCTGACTGGGAAACGGCACAGAAGAACTTTCAGGGACAATGAACAGGTTCTCTTGTTGGGTGAATGGGTTAAACAACTATGTAGTTGTCAAAACTGATTAAATCTACACTTAGCATCACTGCATTTGGCTCAAGTAAATTATAACTCAATTTAAAAAAATTATCCTTGACACAACATTGTAAAATGATTATAAATCAATAAAAAATGTTAAAAAAATTATCCTGGAAACATTAAAAAACCATAAGATTCTAAGGACTAAGAGTTACTTTCAGAATTTTCCAGACATATAACTGTAAGGCAAATAAACAAAGTGAATGTCTTTTGCTGTAGGTTTCCGTAAAAGCCGAGGGATTCCCGGTGCCACATGTCTCTGCTTCAGTACCATGTTTTACTAAGACATTACCATAAACAGTTAGTTGTTCTGAGATTAAACTAAATATCGCTGAGAATGTAATTATAAGCTCTGCATTAAATTGCAAGTTCAAGCAAAAAGTCTGGGCTAGGCATTCCTATCACAGTCCCCATTATGACATAAGGCACCTTGGGACTTCCTGGCCATATCTGAAGTAAATGTCCCAGCTGTGGTCTACAGCACAAAACACGGAGTCTAGGAAGGCCTCTCTTCATAAATGGGATGCCCGCCTCATTTTATGATACTTGGATAGTGAACCTCAAAGACAGATAAATCAAGACACAATTATCCTAACATATAAGGATTTCTTTAGATCGTCAAGGGCTATCGTGTATTTCACAACGTTCTATCCAGGGAACTTCTTGTTAACTATCTATTGCACTGAGCAGTAGATACCTATTTCACCTTTAAAAAAACAAAAACAAAAAACTGTGGACTGCTTTCTCTCATTTGGTCTATGCCAGCTCTCAACTAAGCTAAACTCAGATTAGATGTCTGTTCATTTCTCCTAGAACCAGTAACTGCCAATACTGGTATCCAGTTGTCAAGCTAATGAAATTAAAACTACAGACAAATACACAAACACACAAACACAAACATACAAGTAGAAAAAAAATTCATCTCGTGAATTTTCGGGTAATGACATTCCTTGGGTTTTAATATTTAAGCAACATTTTTCATCAAAATATTATGTATGTCTCCCAGAAGTGTTTTACAAAGGTCAACTGAGTGCATTTAATTTTTTTTTTTGCAGAAGTCTTTAAAATGCAGCTTCAAACGAACTATTCTTTCAATAAAAGTAGCACATTTCAGAAAAGTTAAATCTGGTGCATGTTACTAGAATCAGTTTGGCAAACTTTCAGAGAACTCTTGTATTCGAAGTGCAATCAAGCCCATTTTTGTTAATGAACATATTTGTTAGAAAAAACTGTTCTATTAAATTGCTTTTCAAGATATTTCCTTTTTTCATTTCTCTGAACTTCTGAAAGTTAAACCTTTAAAGATGTTTCATGAAAGAAATGGATTGATCATGCAGTTTTACTGTGGGTGATTTTCTTCTATGTTTCTAGTTCTTTCTTTTAAAAAAATCACTATAAATACACTGCTCACAAAATGGAAGGATATGTTAAAGCATGTCACCGTTACAAAGGGTTTACTGTGAATGTAACAAGTACTTACAGCGTATGGGGGAATGTGAACACAACTTCACAGTCCTCACCATGAAGGCTGTCATAATCTAAAGGCAAGAAGCCTGTCACTAGCGTTTCTAAATTCATCACGTACAATGAATGACAGCCTAGACCAAAAGCAATGGCTTCAACATGTCTCAGAATAATTCAGTAATCATTCTCCAGGTTTCTAATTTATCAGCTGAGTGGATTTCTGTTCTCACGGGTGTTTCAAATACGGAACTTGGATACTTCTGGGCTAACACTGAAAACCCAAGTTAAAAGTTAACATAAAACATCTTTTCACTTTGCAAAAACATTAAGAGTTGACAGGAGTAAGGGAAAGCAGGAGGGAGGGCACATGTTGCACAAATGTAAGCCAATTCTCTGCGTTCCTTTAATACGAGGTGTAACTCGCCTCTCGGATGCTCACATTGGACATCTCTGACCCGTCCTTCCTGGCTCCTTCGTTTCTGTTCTACCCCACACTGAGCCATCGTGTCCGCTCCCTCCTACCTCTGAAAGCTTTTCTAACTGTGCTCTCTACGCCGTCTGCCCACACGTCTCAGTCTTCAGAGCCAGCTTCAGTGTCCACATCTCTCTACCCTCTGTCCTGGTAGACCTGCCCCTTCATACTACCTCCATTTCACTTCATACATTCCTGTATCAACTATGAGACTATTTTAATTCTTTTAAAGTTGTCTGTCTCGACTCACAGATATAGGAAACCAACTGTAGTTACCAAAGGGGAAAGAGCAGGGAGGGATAAATTAGGGGTTGGGGATTAACAGGCATGTTGCTATACACGAAACAGATAAACAGCCAGGACCTACTGTATAGCACAGGGAACTATATTCAATATCTTATAATAACAAAATGGAAAAGAATCTGAAAAGAAGAAAAATGTATGTATGTGTATATATATAAAAAACGGAATCACTGTGCTATACACCTGAAACTAACATTGTAAATCAACTACACTTCAATAAGAAATTACAAAAACATGTCTGTCTCCCTTATGAAACTACCAGTTCCCAAAGAACTAGAAGTATGTTTGATCTTTCTTTGTATTCCCAAAGCATACATATTTGTTGAACCAAATGTTTGTGAATCAAAACAATACACAGATTTCATATTCACTGCACTCTAGTAAATTATTTCACAATTTTGCTACTTTTATGGCCTTCTTACTGGCTAATTTTTCTGTCAAAATAATCCACATGCCTTAGCTTCTAAGGATTCAGCCCACAAAAGTTAGTCTCTAAGAAGTCAACTGTTTACCTTAAACAGGTTAATCTGAAATATATGAAAAGTCAACCTTTGATAAGTTTAACACATTCCACAATTTGTTCCTCTCTGGTATCCAACTGAAGTATTCCTATCTGTTCTAGTGAATTCTAGTAAACACTTTAATGATGAAGAAGATAAGGGAAAAAAACAAAATGGAAGGGCAGAAACCAAGTAGAAAAAGAAGGAAAGAACAATGCAGGGCACATGGTTGGTACTTGTTAACTATTGAGAAAATAATTCCCAAGTACGAGGGATAAAGCAATGGGCGGTATTACAATGGAAGATACGGAAGATGAGGTATTAAAAGAGACAGAACTTTTGCTTCCTTATATATTTATTTTTAGGTATGGCCTATAAATGTTCCAATGTATCCACAAATTCATCAAATGTATATACTATATATTGATGACAACCAGGAGACAAAATTACTAACTACTATATATAAAATAAACAACAAGGCCCTGCTGTATAGCACAGGGAACTATATTCAATGCCTTGTAGTAACCTATAATGAAAAAGAATATGGAAACGAATATATGTATATATATGTATGACTGAACTAGTATGCCGTACACCA